CACTTATTCCTTTAATCTATAATAATTCATTATCAAATCATTCAAATTTACAACCATCATCTGATATTCTTTTTCAAGCTATAACACGTCGTTCAGCTGATGAAAAAACTGATATGGAAAATCTTGAAATTCTTGGTGATTGTTTTCTTAAATTAACTATATCAATGTCACTTTATCATCGTTATCCATTGGCTAGTGCTGGTGCATTAACTATTGAAAAAGCTAAACAAATATCAAATGAAAATCTTTATCGAATAGCTATTGAAAAACATTTAAAAAAATATTTAAATGTTATCAAGATTAATTTTCGTGGTAAAGATGCTAATTGGCTTCTACCTGGATATATAATTAAAAAAAATAATAATAATAATCAATTAAATTTAAAACGTTATTATAATCAAAATGTTAAACGAAAAGCATTTGCTGATATGATTGAAGCATTGATTGGTGCTTTTTTAATTTCAACAGATTATATAATAACAATACAATTTATGAAATGGTTAGGTCTTGATGTTATTCCATTAGATGAAAATAGTAAGAATTTTTTTTTTTATTCATTTAACTAATTTTCTTTATTTTTTAATTAGATCATATTATGGAAATACCATCAATTCTTTGTTCATATAGTACAAATGATGAAATCAATCAAATTGTTAATAAATTTTATAAAGAACAAGAATTTTTTTATATTGAAAATATAATTAATTATAAATTTAATAATAAAGCTTATCTTATTGCAGCATTTACACATCCATCAAGTTTTTCTAATCGTCTTACAAATTGTTATGAAAGGTAATATTCTATATTTAAAATAAAGAAAAAAAAGAATTTCTTATTCTTTTTATTTTTTTGAAATTCTTTTCTATAGATTAGAATTTTTAGGTGATGCTGTATTAGATTTTCTTGTTACACGACATATTTTTGTTAATAATACAAATATTACACCAGGTAAAATAGTCGTTTTGCTTGATTTCTATCTTCGAATTCTATACAAAATGAAATCTTATCTATGTATTTCTATAGAAATCAATATTGATTGAAAAATCACTGTTTGTAAAAATAGAAAAGTAAATAACTAGAGTAAAATTTGCTCTATAAAACTGACGATAGAACTTCGGCAAGTATCAAATCGCTTTTCGATTGAGATATAATTCATTTCATGAGTTTAGAATGGTTTGATTCTTCAAATATCAAAATTTTACTGATTTTTTTTTCAACGAAAACACTGTGATCATGTGAAAAATTAATTTTCGACTTCACACTTTGTATGAAATTAGTTGATCGGATAAGTTTTAGTTTTTCCTTTCTCGGGATGAACAAAATTTACTTTTACACATGAGAAAGGAACCCTGTCGGAAAACGAGAACTATTCAGAATTGAGAAAACAAGTATACCGTGTTGTAATGCAAGTCGAGACGCGTCGGATGGTATATAGTAAGTTTGATTTTCATGGAATTAGAATTAATTCACTGATAGACAACTATACATCCAAAGTATGATCGTTGTGGTCCTTGGTAACAGCCGAACGTGTTTATAAAAAGTTTTTCTTATATAGAGTTAGGTGTGCACCAGTGCCAGTAAGTGGATCCTAGCCAGACTGAGTACTTAGTCATTCGATGTTTATTAAAATGAATTCACGTTTTTTCATTTTTCATTTCAGTATCGATCTTACAGGAAACATTTTTCTAAAACAAGCTGTTATAGAAATCCATTATCTAGAAGGATTATCTATAGCAAAGAAAATAATTCAATAGATGATAATAAACGAAAACTATGCCTGAATAGATAGTTCGCAAAAGTTTAATGAAGACATATGAAATTTATTTATAGTATTCTAAATTATAACGATTAATACATAGAAATATATGATTAGCCAATGGATTCAATATTATAGCTTGTATCAGTACTTTAACAGCCTAAGAATCATTGTATGACAATATACTAGAAAAGAAGAAAGTACTACTCGACTAATGGACTAAAGATCAAATGACTGGGACTGATGCATCCCTATATAGAGTTTTTGATGGACTGCATTTTCATATATTTACCATATCTGATCATTCTATCTTTGATAGGAAAAAATACAATTTTTCAATGATTTACTACCATTTTTCACTAATAATGGGTTCCATATTTTTAATAGTGTCAACCATCGGAGAGGTGATCAGACACCAAACTTTCTCAGAAATTTTACCCATAATGCAGCACTACAAAACACACTATTTGGAAGTTTTCGAAAATTACCTTGTATTACGAAATCAGCATAAAAAACTACATCGAATAGCTTATATTTTCTTTCACCAAAATTCGACCTCCCAGAAGACCACAGGGCGAAATTTAGAGAAAAATGGCTGAGGAAGAAGTACAGATCGAATTTTGGTGGAAAAAATATAAGCTATTCGATGTAGTTTTTTATGCTGATTCCGAATATCATTTTTATTTTACAACAGAAAAACGATGGTTAGGTGTAGAGAAGAATTTTGTCATGGTAAAAGCAATTAGTCAGTCGCTTTTCGATTAATGGAATTTTATGGAACAGGAAAAAGTTTGTCCTGAAGCGTTCTACTTCTGAGGCATCGGTTCTTCTTCAATAAATTTAATTCTTTTTACACAAAATTCTTAAAGCAAAGAAATGTTTTAGAAAAATAAAGTTATTGATCTTTTTTTATTTTTATAGGACGAGTAACAGATATTCGACAGGATTTATCAAATAATGGTCGTTTAGCTTATATCTTAGTTGCATGTCGTCTTCATACAAAAATTCTTCATAATTCACCAGATTTATTTGGTAAAATATCAATATATGCTGGTGATGATGAATTATTTCCAAAAGATTTATCAATTGATAATCAATTAAACAAAGTAAAAATATATGATTATTTAATAATAGAAATAAATATTTTTTTTTTATATTTTTGTTTTTAAGGATATTGATCAATGGGCTGATTCAACAGCACCTAAAGCTTTAGCTGATGTTTTTGAAGCATTAGTTGGAGCAATATTTCTTGATTCTAAAAAATGTTTACAAACTGTTTGGAATGTTATTGAACCTTTACTTCAACAATATATTAGTATATCGATAGAATTAATTTATAGAAAAAAAATATGTATGTATATTAATTATTATTTTTTATTATAATTGTAATAGATCGATCAATTACTGATCCAAATCTAAATCCAGTACGAACATTTTTTGAACAAGGTGGAAAAGTTATTTCGTAAGTTATTATTTATTTTTTTCTATATGTTAATATTTTTTTCAAAATAGAGAATATACTCAAACTAATACTGAGAAAGAAACAACAATATCTATTTGTATTATTGAAGCAACAAATGGATGTCGATATGAAGGTTATGGAACAAATAGAAAAATGGCAAAAGCTAATGCATGTCGAAAAGCAATTAAATCTGTGATACCAAATAAAATAATTATAGATAATTAATTTTAAATAAAGAGTTTATTTTATTTGTTTGTTTGTTTTTTTTACTTTAGCAAAAGCAAATATTGTTTTCAATAATGAATTGTAAAGATATTTATTTTTTGATTAATAAAACAGTGACTTTTGTTTTTTAATAATTAAATTTTGATTTTCAAATCAATCATATTAGATTTGATATAATACATTTGTAGAGCATATGTGAAATTGAATTCGAAGGAACATTATCAAAAGTGAAACTCTCCAATTGGATTGGTATTACTATGAGTCTAAAATGATTCGTTCAATTAAGTCAAATGTTTTAGAATTATAACCACACTGCTGAATTTTCGATTTCTTGTAAAAATATTTATAGAAAACTCAAATGAAGAACTTTTTATAGTAAATAGGTCATAAGCAATGGCGAAGTTCCATTAAATTTCTGGACGATTGAGCCGCTCTGAAGCTGAAAAATGATATACTTTTCAATGTTAATAATAGATTGTTCAAAGGTTTCTTGAGGAAGGCGTCGGCACTACCATCATGGCCATTAAAATGCTCAAAACACGTTCGTATTTTATAACAAAAGTTCACAAAATCGACTTTTCTTTAACATTTAGAACATTCTAGCAACAGTATGACCTATTTATAAGCAGAAATCCAGTAAAAACGACCATAAATCCGAAGGAAAGGTATCATTTAGAAATCTTGAAAGCATTTTCTTCCCTTCTAAGATATAATCATATGTCAAAAAAAACCGTAGGCTTCTTACCATTTTTTTGCTAAAAAATATGATTTCTCTGTTATCATGCTCACTTTAGAGATTATTTCTTATTTTAAATTACACAACAAGTATCAAAGTAATTTAATAGAGTCTAGTTGCAATATTTTTCCGCTTCCTTAAGCTTGAGAAAAAAATGTAAACAGTGATTCAAGTAGATAAAATTGTTCTCAACAAAAATATAACTACATGGATGATAGAGCAAATAATTTTCTACGAAATGAGATGTTTTCAAGTTTTCTAGTTGCAATACAACAATTTGATTGAAGGTCCAAAAGAAAAGTTTTTTTACTATAGGAAATAGTAAAAAACATTTTCAGAGGCTTCCGTAATGTTGTTGTATCTCAACTAAAAAAACATCGTAGTAGAACTCGGAAACATGTCATTTTATAGAATATTGTTTACTCTATTATTCTAAGTAAAATTATATCGAAAGATTTTAAATACTGAAAGCTAGATTTTGAGTTTGATGGGAATAATTTTTTCTCTATTCGAATGTTTTTTCAAAATTTAATATACATAAATCTTAAAAATTATAGTTTTATCTAACATTCTATTAATATATCAATTATCAATGATATAAAGATTAGATATACTTAAATTCTAAGCTATTGCTCAATAAAATTTTCTCATTAAAGTTTATTATTTTTTTTTGAACAATATAATTATTCAATGTTCATGTTCCTTAATACGAATAGCTATGTTTGAACACAACAAATAGATATTATTCTTTTAAATAAATAACAATACACACATGAACATAATTTCTTTGTTTTTGTTTTTAATGAATGTCTTATCGAATATTATTCCAATTCTAATAATTGTCGTAATCGCTGCCGAAATAACTCCTGTACATACAAAGACAAAAAAGAAAAAAGAACAACAATCGATAATTATTTTTTTTTTTATGTATTTACCGATCGAAGTCCTTCTAAAATATAATTACGATCGGTTACAGGACTATTGCCAGATTCATCATCATTTACATTCGTTTTCCATACAACATATTGTTGTGATAAATCATCTGGTACTGTACGTTTACCCCAATTGCCTAAAATGTTTTTATTTAATAGTAAATCTTTATGAAAAAAAAACAAATCTCTACCTCCAAAACATGAATGTCCAAATTGACCACATAGATGACTAAGAGCAATTGCTTGAACAGGTCGAGGAAATTGAGAGAAAAATAAACTCGATAAAATAAGAAGACCAATTGAAAAATGAACACGAGTAATAATAAAAGACGATGAATTCATATCTCTACAAAATAGAAATATTCTGAACAATCGTTCATTTTTTTCTTATATACGCTTATTGACTCTCTATTTTTTTTCTAATAACTATTTCTCTTTCGTGTATAGACTCTCTCTGGTCTAATCATTTTCTTAATAACTATTTTTCTTTCGTGTATAGATTCTCTCTGGTCTAATCAATAGCAAGAAAAAGCATATATTTGCTCATTTACAAATAAAAAAAGAAAAATCGTCACCCACACACACATTGCATATTTTTATCCCCTGAGACAAACTTTTTACTTTTTTTTTTTTTTTAAAACGTCACATACAATTTCTATGAAACTATGGCAATCTTTATATATATATATATATATAAAGAAATAAATGTATATTTAACCTTGCGTAATTTTATTTCTTCTATCACGTATATTTGATAAATAAAAGCAGGAAATTAAAAGAAAAGAAAGAAAAACGTTATGTTTTCTTTTTCGTAATATAAAACGAAGAAATAGAGAAAATAATCTTAAAGAAAGTTGTTCTTTTACGTGACTATATTTTCAAAAAAAGGAATATTACTTATTAGTTTTGTATTCTCTATTGGAAAAAAATATGATTAGTGTTTTTTTTATTTTGTTTTTATTATTATTATTTCATATAAATAATAGAAACTGATTATATATTATATATGAATTAATCATGTAATTTTGAGAAAATTATCTTTTCTATTTAAATTTATAATTATAGTTTTTTGACAAATTGTAATAAATCTTGATACTCTTTTCTCTAACTTTCTAAATATAAAAAGTTTCCTTTATATGCTAAAATATAGAAAATTTCAAACTGTTCAAATTTGTGAACTTTCTTTTTCACACAAGTTTAACTTTCTCTCGGTGCTAAAAAAAACCCTTTGCTTTCTCATCGAGAAGTAATATAGTATTGTAGATGATATGATATGCCATCAAACTCTATAAATATATACCAATTGATTGTCCTATGAATTGTTGTACGTAGTGATCAAATTAGCCAACCAATGCCTAAAAAACTGGCAACTATTCGATATCTAAGGAGACATATTAGTTTTGCAATGAGTATTTTATTGAATGAAAATATTTCTATCTATTAATAATAAGCTCATCATGTTCTATCATTTAATATATATGGATCTTTCGAAAATAGCAAAAAAAGCTTTTGCTTCCGAACTCCTGAAGAAGGATACGGGAATATACAAAATTTTTAATTCTAATCAGAAATTGAACATATGTTGAAACTAATAGAGTTCTATACTCTAATCACATCCGGTTACTCAGAATCTCAATTCATATAGAACAAAATAAAAAAGAAATTAATCTTTGCCATAATCTATTATCGTATCCCCTCCAGGAATTCGAAAACGAAAAATTCTTTTGCCATTTTTGAGAAGTTCATCTATGTCAAATGATATGACTATTAATAGATAGATAGGTTTTCATTAAAAAAACGTTTATCGCAAAACTCATACACTTTTCTGCGCTTAGGAATCGAAAAATTGGCCTTTTTCGGCATTGATTGGCCCAATTTACTATAATGTACAACAGTTCAGAGAACACAGTCGATTGGTGTATAATTATAGAGCTTGGTAGTACATAACTTCTGATATAGCTGCACGGTTAGTTGCCTTTAGCTTCAGGAGCACTATCGAAGAATTTAAAACATTATAAAAGCTAAAATTATGGAAGCTATTAAAAATTCTAAGGTTTTGGGTGCAAAGTAAGCTATTATGTGTATTATTAGATATACACGATTGAAGACCATACAAAACTCTATTGAAATAACTTTAAACAAAATTTAATATAGGTTTTTTGAAGATATCTTGAGTCCTAATATTAGGTTGGCCAAAAAGTTCTGCAACACTTGCGAAAAAGTTGATTTTTATGCGCATTTTTGTTAATTTTTTGTGTGTTTTATGCACAATTTTTGTTGCTTTTGTGTTTATCGTGTTCCGGGTTTGTGATGTAGCGACTAAACAGTCACGTGTCTGTCTACGTGGCCGTCTCTATCTATCCATTGTTCAATATTGCATGTACCTTCTAGAACTTTCTATGCACTCTACTCGGACATATGACGTGTTCTTGCGTAATGTTATTGCGCAATTTTCATACTATATATACAGGTGTTTCCTGTTTGTCACTGTCATTTTTCCCAATCAGTCACTCAGTGTTCACTTGTGAATAAACCAGCTCTTCTGAATCGTGTCTCCTTTCTGCTCGACATCAATCTCGGCCTGAAGACGTGACAGGGTTCATCTTTATCCTCAAAGTTTCAGATGACATTGGACAAAATCGAGCTTCGAGTCTTGATACGCTATTGTTGGAAGCGACGACTTTCGACCAGAGATGCTGCGAAAGAGATTTGTGATGCTGAAGACGAAGGAATCGTCCACTACACAACTGTTTCCCGGTGGTACAAACGATTCGATTCCGGTGACCTTAGTCTCGAAGATCAACCACGTTCCGGCCGGTCATCAACGTTGGACAACGAAGATCTGCGGGCAGCCTTGGAAGATGAGTCTTCATCGAGCAGCCGTGAATTGACGTTGGTTCTTGAAGTCTCATCCCATCAGACTGCGCCCAATCACCTGCATCAAATGGATTTTGTGCACAAGAAGCCTCGTCAGGATCTACACGAGTTGACCGAAGCGCAAGCCAAACGTCGTGTTGAAGTCTGCCGTCAATTGTTGGAAAATCCATTGGATGATCGGTTTTGGAAGCGTATTGTGACTTCGGACGAAAAATGGGTCTACTTGGTCAATCACAACCGGCAGAAGCAGTGAGTTCCGCGAGGTCAAGATCCGCCATCAGTTCCGCGTCAAGATGGTTTCGGCAAGAAGGTGATGATTTGCGTCTGGTGGAACTTTGAGGGCGTGCTTCACTTTGACCTGGTTCCGAATGGCCGTGCCGTGAATGCCGAACTCTACTGCCAACAACTGGACCGTGTCTATGACAAGTTGAAGGAGAAGTACCCGACCCTCGTTCGTCGCAAATGCGCTTTGTTCCAGCAAGACAACGCTAAACCCCACACCGCCAAGAAAACAAAGGAGAAATTTGACGAACTGGAGGAAGTCGAGGTCTTGCCGCACCCAGTCTACAGTTCCGACGCTGCACCATCCGATTACGGCCTCTTTCGATCAATGGAGCACTTTTTGCGTGGTCGCCGATTCGAGTCATTTGATCAAGTTGAGGAAGCGTGCCAGGAGTTCTTCGATTTGAAGCCGGCAGAATGGCACTTCAATCAAATCCGGATGCTTGCAGATCGGTGACAAAAGATTGTTGAAAACGATGGCCTTTATTTTGAAGAGTAGTTGTTATTGTTTTTAAATAAATGTGTGCATAAAAATCAACTTTTTCGCAAGTGTTGTAGAACTTTTTGGCCAACCTAGTAATATCATTGATTTAACCATCTGGATTATCATACCATTCACTTAAACCAATTACTCCATCTGGATCAGAAATGACTCCACCAGCACCAGATACACCATGTGCACTTTTTTCTAATTCATTCTTCATTTCGATGATCAACTGTTTAATAAAATCGTCATTAACTGTATATGACGAAAAATCCAATGTTGGTATATTGGTGATATATTTATTTGAAATTAAAAAATCAAATGCTGAATAATTTTCTTTATTTTCTCGCATTTCATCAAGCATAACACCTAAAATGGAATTTTATTTTGAGTCATTATAAGAAAAATATTTTTACCTTTTAATTTAGATAATTCAGTTCTCATAGTATTTAAAGCATTCTGTTGCTTTTTAGAATCTGAAACATCTTCATTAGATTTTGAAATTAATGAAATCTTTTCTTTCAAATTCTTAATTGACTGTTTATTTTCCAAAAGCTAAAAGAATAAAAAAATAAAAAGAATGAATTAAAAACATGTTAATACTTTTACCTCTTTGTTTATGTAAAGAATTATATATTCATCAAATTTTCCTTTATTCATGTTGCTGGTAAACAATGAAGTAATTGAATGACCACCATTCATTACTAAAAGAAAAAGAGAAAGAGATTATTATCTAAGTTCGAGTATGAACATTCTCGAATAGAATAGAATATAATAGATAATAAAGAAAGAAGTAGTCTATACTTAAATGAAAGGAAAACGACGGAGAAAAATGAAGAAAAATAGTCTACTTGTTTAATTTTATGAAGTTTTTAGAATGAATTGTATAGAAAACTGTTCAAATTATTATCAGTGTTAAAAAAAACAACCAAGTTTACAAAAATTTTCACCAATAATTTGATGAATATTATGATTATTATTTCGTTGTTTAATTGTTAAATATTCTTTTTATTGATCAGAGTTCATTAAATTTTCAGCAGATATATAATAAATACCTGATTCTATGAGACAAAAAAAAATCTTTTTTTTGCAAACTGTGTTATTTATTTTCTTTTCATTGCTTTTTAAAAGATGATAATAATATTGATTTTTATACCAAATGAAAGTTCATCAAAATTGGGACTTAGTAGTATAGATAACAGTTCATAGCATGAATATAAACTAGAGTATTAGCAAAAGTTTCAAAAATTTCAGGCCTATAATTGAATTCTATCGAAATTTCGCTAATTCTCTTGCTCAAAATCATTCGATGTACTATAGAAAAGCCCAACGAAAAAAATATAGAAAATTTCAATTAATAAGACATCCTTTATTTTTGGTATAATACTAACATTGCAACATAGAGTCAAGCATCATTCTATGAACTATTAGTTATACTACAAAAATCCCATTTGCAACGAGATGTCGTTTGGTATAAAATTCAATGTTGATATTATTTATATTTGGAGCTATATCCTTCGTGGAAAAATATTATTTCGAATTCTGTCCATACTTAATGATGAAATTAAGCAGTATTAAATCTCAAAATTACTCTTTTTGAAAAACAAAAAGACATTAAACATAGAAATTGTTCAGTTATATTTTAATAAATTTTTAGAGATCTATTTAAAGCATTATTCTCATGTACTTCATTGGATCTCTCGATTTTCGCCTAAGTCAATATGTGTTACTCCATTTTGTCTAATATTGGAATTTATTGTAGTTATAGATAAAATTTTAAATAATATCTAAACAATGGTCTGTATAAATTATCTATAAACTTGCTTAGAATTTCTTGAGCATCTTTTTTTTCATATTTGTTTTCTAACCTAATGTATCATGAAGTCTCATGAGAAAATTATTGTAAATTCCATCAAGTGTATATTCATTAACAAAAGTTTTTATTTCACTTAATGTTTTAACAATATTTTCATCTGTTAAACCCATCCAATAAAATATTTTACCACAATTTGTATCAAGATTAAAATAACGAAAAAAATTTTGAAAATAGATAAATGTATATTCCTTTTTTTTATTATTAGAATTAAAAATAATTACCAAGAATAGATAAAGATGATAATCTTTTTGTTGATTCAATAAGATTATTTGTAATAAAATTTCAACGTTCATCATTATTTAATATAGAATTGATATAAAATTCTTTCATTACCATAGCACGTTGTGTTAAATATTCAATTAAATCATTTTCACGCATAACTAAAGTAATTTCAGCAAGTAAATCAGCATCACGTTTATGAAAAAATGATATAGATTCAAAATGTTTTAATAAAGATGATTTTTTAATAATAATATATAGTTATATTATTGAAGTCAATTCATTCGTTGAAATAATATACATTATGAATATTTACTGTTCGAGATGTAAGTGACTCTCGCGGAGTTTGTGGTTATTGTACCATCCACTATTTAAATGCCTTAACCGCCATGTTCTTATTAACAGATAAAGGATTTCAAGACAACTGATTAAAATTAGCCGAAGATATGGATTTTTTTTTTGCAAATTTGCATTAACTCTTATGTAAAGATTACCCAAAAAATACTTCATAAACGAAGCAAACTAAAACTGTTTGACATGGAATTTTTATTGAAGATAGAAGTAACATTGAGCTATCGAATGAAGGGCTCTAATGTCATGAGATTTGTTTTCTATGTTGAGATATCTTCGTCCGAAGATTTACGTTCAAACTATAAGACTAAAGAATTAAACTTCAAGCATTTTTTATCTAGTAGCGGAACTTTTTACGACTATTATAAATGTTCGGCTGTTGTTTGATCGCCATTCTATCACGGTATACCGAGAATTACTCTCTAATCGACAATCATCTATTGCCGATGTCCGACGTGGATCAAATTTTTGTGATCTAAGCACAGCCGGACTCGAATCCGACCACTTTTCTCTTGAGAAAATCAATTTTGTAAATCCCTTTCATTTCGTAGTTGAAAACAAAGGATATATCCTTGATATTCCGCTGTTGAGACAATACGATTATATGGTAGAATTTTTTTTTTGTTGTTTGTCTCTCTCTTGTGTAGACAACCTGTGATCTTTATATCATCATTGAACAGATAATGCGCGTTCGCTATGCATTGTTGTCCGATGAATTAGAACATTTAAAATATTTTTTGTTATCTGCAAAATATTAAGACTGCAGATCCATCTCGAAATTTTGTTCGTAACCCGATCCAATCTAAGTCGTACTAATACGATCAGTAGTGCAAACCAATGTATAACATAGTAAGTCGATTTGAATCAGAATTGAATCATTTTTTATATTTGTCTATTGACTGATCATCAACTAGCGCCATCTGTATATTGAATAAGACAATCTATATTCATTTTCTTGTAAAAATAATTAATAAAATAATTAAAAAGTTTTTTCAAAAAAATTCTTTACAATTTTATTATATGATTTGATAAAAATTGACGAAAAAAACTAAAAATAAAACCTAATTGGTAGGTCTAATTAGCTTATAAATGACCCAAAAGAAATAAAGAACAAGAGAAATAAACGAGCGTAACTTAGTTAGTCTTAACAGTCATCATTCTTCATCGTATTTTTGCTGTTTCTGGCATATTCTGTGTTGCACAAACATATACTTCGGCATTTTGGACTTTGACAAAGTGCACACATTACAAGAATATCTTATTGATAGGGGGGTATTTTCTTTTGCATATTTGTCTTGTTCTTTTATTTTTTTTTTGATTTATATATCAACACAATAAATCACACCATAACTTTTTTTTTCCTCTCGTTCATAATTTCTTTTTTCCTTTCTTTTATTACAAGGCACATCTTTTCTTGTTTCTTTCTTATGTCAGTCTTTCTGACTTGACTTGTTTTGTCTTTACAATAAGTGATATTTGAGAAAGAAACTAAATAATAACAATAAATAAGATTAATACATCCATAAAATTACAAATTATATCATAGTAAAAAAAAAAAAAAATATTAACTAGTTTAATGATTTCAGATATGCATGAAAGACAAAATCATCTTTATTCATTTTTCTTTTTTTTTTTTTGTCTCGGATATTTTCTTTTCTTTTGTATTGTCAAAATAATATTGTAACAATACTTATATATGAGTCTGTTAGATGCATGTTTTATGATAGTGCCATTCTGTCCCATATTTTTCTTTTGTGGCTATAGTACATAACGGAAAAAAAAAAAGAAAACAGATTAGTGCGAAGTGCAAGAATGCCCTTTTGTCCACATTAAAGAAAAAGAAAAGAACATGATGAAGGAAATAAGAACGAGCAATGGCTGGTTGATGTGTGTATTGCATCAAGAACTTCACCGGTATTCTCGCGCACAAGTTTTTTACTACAATCAACTATATAGAGATGCCTCGAGCTATTAGAGTATAGTTGTACTATTCTCATTTTTTTCCGATTAAAAGACATTTTTTACAAGTGAAAGAGAGAAGGAAAAAAATGAACCGCAAAATACAAAATAAAGAAAAAAACATGCTTATTGAATAAATACATCTAACTGACGCTATCTGTAATTAAAATCTTTTAGGGATGTTTATATATGTATGTGTATTAGTTGATTTCATTTATATAATTATTGTTTTCAGTTAATTAAAAATATTTCAGAGGTATGTGACTAGGCAACCGACGACTTACTAACAATCTGTTACTTCATCATTAAAAGTTCTTTTTTTTTGTTTTTACTTAAGGTAAATTAATGTTCATTTCTTTGTTTTTTTTTCCTCTCTTCAGATTAACGTCCGATCGCCGAAATAAAAGATGGTGATATCGATATATATTTATTATTATTTTTCTTTTTGTCATAATTTGCTTTGACACACATTTTTTTAATCACTCATCTAACAATAGCAGCAACAACAACGTATGTGCATTTCATCATTAACAATTTCACATTCTTGTTCGGCGTCGACTACTGGTAAATTTATTTTAAAGTGAACAATTTATATTTGTTTTTTTCTTTTTAGATTCATCATTATTTACGACAACAATACCAAAAACAGACGATATGATAGAAAATAATTTACAAGAAGATTTATTTTCAGAAGATATACTTGTTGCTAAAAATTCTATGCCTGAAGATGATCCGAATGGAAATACATTACATGACGCAAGAGAAATTCGTTGGGGACCTCAACATGCTGGTGCAAAAATACTAGCTGGTCAATATACAAAAGGTAGCGTTTGTTTTTTTGTTTTTTTTTATATTTATATTCTATTGGAAAAAGATAAACTAAGATTTATTTCAATAGAGAGAAAAAAGTTAAAATACGCTTTATAGGAAATGTAACATAACTGTTGATATGTTTAAATTATAAATTTAGAAAAACGTATTCAAGAAATAATTTCAATTATTCTATCCATTATATTTATGATCTATAATTTTATTTGTATCTATCGTTATTTTGATGTAAGAAATTGGTATCTTATCATTCCTTCAGCTTGTATGTATAATAATAAAATTTTATTTTTGATTAAATTTTTCATTGATTTTGTTTTTTATTTTTTAAGTACTTGGTATTTTAACAGCAGACTTAGCGTCAGGTATTGTTCATTGGTGTGCTGATACATGGGGTACAGTTGATATGCCATTTATTGGTCGAAATTTTTTACGTCCATTTCGAGAACATCATATTGATCCAACATCAATAACACGTCATGATTTTATTGAAACTAATGGTGACAATTTTGCAGTTACTGTTCCTTATCTTTTATATATGGCTTATAAATTTACATATTGGAATGATACCGATATACGACAAATATATAATTTTGAAGTTTATATGTTTCTTCTAGCTATATTTGTTTCAATGACTAATCAAGTAAATGAATTTAAAAAAAAAAAGAAAGATTTTTGTTTATTTTATTATTAGTTTCATAAATGGTCACATACTTATTTTGGTTTACCCAGTTATATAGTTTTTCTACAACGTTATCATATTATTCTACCTCGTAAACATCATCGATTACATCATGGTATGTTGATTTAGAAAGATCAAATTTTTTACTTACATTCGAGTTTTCGAATTTAAAATTTCAATATTTCGATTTACGTTGGAATAAAAAAAACAAAAATCAGTTCAGTTCAAACATAAACAATTTATTAATTAGCTTACGAGTAGAACTCATCGGATTATACTCTGAAATTAACAGTCAATTATTAAGTATTTCACATATGTGAAATGAGTCTTATCCATGATTCGCTTATTGGTTATGAATATGCATAAAAAGTGATAACATATGTTGCTTAGAACGATCTCTTTTCCCTTCTTTTTCAATGGTTTTGCTAACACATGGCAACAAAGCGATTGAAGAAAAAAAAAAGGAAAAGAGATTGCCTTGAGCAACATGGGAGCTACTATGTGAATTCGTAATCAACAAGCGAATCATGAATAAAGCTTATTTATAGTGCAGATATCAATCCGTAATTGTATCCAGGTTGAAAACATGAAGTTCAATGATGATCGTATTCGTATTCGGATTGAATCGATTTTGAAAAAATTTTAAAATGTATTGAAATATAATCTATAAGATTTTCTTGATTCTTTTCTAAAATCCTAGTCGAGAATCCTGAGAAATATAACATGAAACTTATGACAACTATAAACGATCGTACGCAACGTTTTTATCATAATATCCATCCCTAGTGAAATCTCATTATGAAGTCCCACGGGGAATCACGACAAGGAGTGAGAAACTCTCGACTAGGGAATCAAAGTCTTTAATTGTCAGATTTTAATCTACATATTTTTTTTTTCTAAATTTAGTCGTACCACATGATACTTATTTTTGCAGTAAGTATATTTTCTAATAAAAGAAATTCGATTTATTTATTTTATTTAATATTTAGTTACAACTGGTTGGTTGAATTGGCCACTCGAAATGATTCACTTCTGGTCATGGCTTGAATCTATTGTTGAAAAATATACAGGAGCAAAACCTCGTTCAGATGATTTCGCTTGGGCACAAAAGACCGAAAAAGTTCATTGCTATTAGCAATAGTCTCATTTGATTATCATTATTATTATCTATTCATATAGTCATAAAACAAGTGCGATTAATTACAAAATTATCGCTTCTTCTTCGTTTCTTTTTTTTTTTTTTTTTTTTTTTTGTTATAGTTTCTCATATTGCGCTAAGTCTTTTTTTTTTTCTTATTTGTTTATTCACTAAGACCTATTGCTTTTTTTTTTTTTTTCTTTCTTAAAATAATTATCATTATCACGTTTACATTTTTTGTTTGTTTGTGTGTCATTTTTGTTGCATCTGTGATGACTATTTGTGTGCGATGAATAGAATGAATGAACTCACTACCAAGCGATACAAAAAAAAAAAAAAAAAAAAAAAATCAAAAATCAAAATCTCCTGTCAAATTCGTTAAGCAAAGCACACAATTGTCAGATAATGGTAGAAATAATATATCCGAATTTCTATTTAAAAATTCGATATTATGAGATTTATTGTCACTATTTATCCTTTATATGTGGTTTTTCTCTCACTCTCACTCTTTTATGTCTGTTGTTATTTTTTTTTCTTTACAAGAAAAACAAAAAAGAAGATAAAAAAATAAATAACAATAGAAATATGTTTTGTTTTGTTTTGTTCTTTTTGCAATTGAAAAATTTGTACATATTATAGAGATGAGTCTAAATGAAAATGAATGTCTTATTTTTCCTGTTCAACGAATTATTTCAACATCAATTGCAGCTATGAGTACAGCTTTATTTATGGTAGAAAAAAAAAACAAAAATTTAAGATTATAGTGTTGTGTTGTAATTTTTTTTTTTTTCTAGACACCATTTGATGTTGTTAGAATAAGACTTCAATCACAAAATCATCAATTTGTTAAAGGTGATTGTTTTGTATTTCGTAATGGACTTGGAGATTATATTTGTACTTGTTTTAATGGACATGAACCAGTACCATGGTATAATCGATCAATACCAGGAAGATATAATGGTACAATTGATGCTTTATTAAAAGTAAATTAGTTTTTTTTTTTGTAGTTTGATCAATTAAATTTTTTATATTTAGATAACACGTAATGAAGGTATTCGATCATTATGGTCTGGTTTACCACCAACATTAGTTATGTCATTACCAAATACAATTATTTATTTTACTACATATGAACAATTGAAATGTTTTATGGGTTATGAAAGAAATAATTTAAATCTAATTATACCTGGTATATCTGGTGGTTTAGCAAGAATATTAGCTGTTGTTGTAACAAGTCCAATTGAATTAATAAGAACAAAAAAAATGTCAGCTAAATTATCTTATACAGATTTACATAATATATTACGAGAATCAATTCAATCGAATGGTTTACGTACATTATGGAGAGGACTCATACCAACTCTTTGGAGAGATTTACCATTTAGTAGTAAGTTATCAATCGAATTAGTATCTCAATTGAATTAGTACTATTGAGATTTATATCATATGAATCGAATTGAGACTCTTGTGTATGTCTATTATAAACCACGCGATCATATATAAAGAAAACACGAAATAGTCATAGAGAATTTGAAAACATTTAATTAAAAATTAAATCTATATTCAAACATATGAGATTGTAGTTCGATCTGGACATTTTACTGAATATATGGTTATTGACAAATATAATCAACATTTATCACTGTTCATGATGACCTAATATTTGATTTATAATAGATTGTTATATCTCATGAGAATAGATTCTCAAGTGTATGTCTCTCTTTCTGTTTTTTAATCGACTTTTGTGTCAGTGTAATAGAATTCAATTAGCTGATCACTATGGAATAGAACATTCTTCCTTCGAAGAGTTAGATCGATTTCAATTTCAGAAAAATAACTTGAAATTATTATTTTGGAAATTATAATTTTGTTTTCAACACTGAATGTATTGTAATTAATTAAACATCATCAACACACATAGAAATTCTAACTATGTCTATACTTTGAATATTTCAATAGCATTAACAATGTGGACTCTTTTTTTGTTTTGTTTCAACTCATCTAATTACAATTTTATGTTCGTCTATTTTGAACTTATATTAAAAAAATATTTAAAGTAAAACTTCTATTTATGTATTGATTATGTGAATGTATTCAATATTGAGAACTAAAAATTAAGATTTCCGAAATAACAGATAATAGTCATTTTTATGAAGTTGAAATAGATCGAATTCCTCATAGACAATAGTCTATAGGGAAGAATGTTTTATGCTATTGTAATGATTAGCTCATTGAATTCTATAAACTGACATAAAGTTGATCGAAAATGAAGACTATCCCTTGTGAAATGTATAGATCTATTATAAATAAGATATAAAAGTATGTTTCAAAATAACTGATAATAAATTATTAATGATATTTTTCACAGATCTAGATTAAACTAATATATAATATTTGGATGATGAAAACAAAAAAAATTTTCATTTATAATAAAATTCAATAGATATAAACATACTCTATGTCCGATTGTAATTAATAAAATATTTCATCTATCATTTTGTTTTTCTGTACATTTTTCTTGCAAAGATTTTCCTCCATTCTTTTATAATTTATTTGTATCAAATACTTTTTTATGACATATTTTCGTCTAGTACACATCATACATCAACTAATACTCATAGGAACTAACAGTAGCGCTTAATACTTTTTACAGTGGCATCTATAATAAAAATTTATCTCATAACTGGGACTAATTTCGGGTCTATGGGTTAGTTTCTATATATAAACAATAATAAATTGACTATATTTATTTTATCCAACAGAATATATATATATATATTTATTTCTAGGACATTGAATGATTGATGAAAGTTTTTGAAAAAAAAATGTTATTTTGTTTTTCTGAAGTATTTATACCGATGAGCAGGAAGTTGATATGTGCGATTTTTAAAAAATAACAGTGCATTGCATTATATATATCTGTCTTATAAGTATGATATTAGCGTATAGAAAATTTTGGATCGGATGTTTTGATTTAATATGATTTTATTTTATGAACTTTTGTCTATATCAATTAATTCGTGCATTTCAAACTCAACTGAATTACACTTTATCCTCAGTTGGTATAGAACACTCTTTATAACGATTTCTAGATCATCGTGAACGTTGATAGCTACTCATGTGGATATTGATTATATTTTTTCGGAGACAATTGTATATTCGAAGGAAATCCTTTACTCTAAACTTTTGTCTGAAAAATTTTATTTTAAAAATTACCAAATGTCATTTCATTGTACACAGTTTTCCTTGTTGATTCCAAATATATTCTTATTTTTCTCTGAAAATACTTCTAAGGCAATATAACACGGAAATTTGTTTTTGTTTTTTAGAAAACCTGTATCTCAATTCAGCAGTATAATAGAGGAAAACATTCTATGAAAGTTTCAAACTGTGCGTACCGGAAAAATGTCTTTTATATAGAACAATAGCGCAACAGTTCTATTTTGAAAATCAGCATGATATTTTATTTTTTGGACTTAAGATTTTTCCAAACCATAGCTAGAATAACATTTTTTCTTAAATCAAAAAGTCGATCATTGACAAACGTATATTGAACATTAATCAAATTGCATAAAATATTACCTATACATTTTTTTATCAAATGTTTACATTGTTATCCAGTGTGTGATTATAGTTAATCGCATAGTTTACAAGAGCCTTCATTGATCTCAAAAAAAAAAAAAATACTTAACTCAATTTGTTCTATATTAAAAATTGTAAAATTTTTTTTGATAATCACCGCAGACCAGTGCACTGGTCTAGACATAGATGTATAGAACAACAATGAAACTAGTGATCTTAGATTCGTTTTTCTGTCTGAAGAAGATCTATTATAAGAAAATAGAATTTAACTAAATCATGAGAACTAATGAGAAAACCTCTTCAGTGCTTTGATATCTGGAGAGATTTCTTCATAAGCTAATGTCTATAGTTATCAATTAATATTTTCTTGTATTTTTATTTTGTTAATAGTTTTCTACTGGTCTGTTTATGAACGATTAAAATGTAAGTATTCTTTTTGTTTTTTTTTGAATAATAAATCTTATAGATTAAATAAATTATTTTTCAGTATCTATCATGAAACAATTTAGTACAACAGCAACATTAGCTGCTTTTTATTCTGGTGCAACAGCCGGTATGATAATAATAAATTTTGATAATTTATTTTATGTTTTTTTTTTTTTTTTTTTGAAATAAATTAGGTGCTTTAGCAACTATTTTTACACATCCATTTGATACAATCAAATCAATTCGTCAAGTTCAATTAGGTAGTAATCAAGTACAATCAACCGAACGTACACTTCATTTACTTTACTATATGTTTAAAGAACAAGGCATACATAGTTGGTATAAAGGTAAGAAAGAAAAAAAAAAAAGGATGTATTATTTGTTTTTTTTTTTATAGGTCTTGTTCCACGTTTAATAAAAGTTTCACCAGCATGTGCAATTATGATTTCAACAATTGAATTTTTTCGTCAAAATGTTTTTAAACAAACGAATTAATATCTTTATATTGTTATTGACAGTGAAATAATTGTTTTTTTGTTTTGTTTTTTGTTATTTAATATGAAATGTCCGGTTTTGTTTTTTCACTTTTTGAAATAAAATTTATTGGAATCAAATTGATAGGATGAATAATTGGAAATCTTGTCAAATTAAGATTGAAATCTTTTTATAATTCTAATTCGATGATTATATAGATCTGATATATAATGATAAGTAGTGGATTATGAAAGTCATTATTTTTCTTCAAGCTATTATTTGACATTTATTGATTATCATTTATTCTATTAGAATTTTACCGATGAACTTTCTTTAATATATTTTCTAGTCTTATAAAAATCATTAATTAATTGAAATTTTTACATTTTTTTTTTTTTTTTATCAAATAAAATATCGAAAACAAACAAAAACTTCTTAAAATAAATATAATAATCATTTATCTTTATCTGAATATGGTTTTTATTAAGAAACAAATATACATTGTATATACAGTATCAACAAAATAATCTGCTTTAAAAAAAAAAAAAAAAGCGAAGAGCAACACACACATATATATACACATTCAGCTTCTAATCTCATCAAGGAAATTCATCTTGTCGGATTTTTCTTTTCTTTTCATGCTTTTGCTTCTATAATGTGTTGCACATCGGCTTAGGCTTATCGAGCTGAATGCACTATGTTATGTTCAGTGAGCGAAAGCTCAATTAAACTCCTTTTTTATTCTATTCCTTTTTCTTTTCGTTCTGTCTGCTGTTATAACTGACATTGTTACCGCTTCCATTTCTGTATAATCTACCTTTACCAATGGTGTCGAGCTACAAGTATCTCTTTCTTATATGATGTGCTCGGTTCGTAAATCAGGATGATGATGATGAGAAGAAAAGAAATCAGTAGTGCTCAATTCTATGTTAGATTAACTCTCGAACAGCAAAAAAAAAACGATAGAGAGGGAGAGAGAGAGAGCGAAAAAAGAAAAAGTAGCGAGACGACGTTGTTGAAGCGACAATGAGTATAGCGTCTTATCAAAAATGGACGATTAACACAAAGATGATGAAAGTAGGTGAGGGAAAAAAACGACTCGATTGACGGGCGAGAATGAATTTTTAGTGAACACATCGCCTCGACTGCTGCTACTTGGAGAGAGAAAAAAAAGTGATTACCGCTCGGCTCGAGCAAAGGAGGGGGGCCGTTGCACGATGTGTATTAGAATTGATTGCGATTTGTATATATGTGTTTGACACAAACGCACCACTACCACCTTCATCATTACCCGAAATCCATTTCTTCTTTTTTTTTCTTCTCCTTCATCTCAATCGATTAAAGTTGTATGCTCTACCAGAAGAGGCGATAATATATATATATATATATGTGTACATATTCATTTCTCTCTTTATTTGAATATGTTCATTGGTGTTAGGTCAATGAAAGGGTTGCAACGTTAATCCAATTCTTTGTATAACAGAATAATGATCTACACAGAATAATAATAAAACAAGAAGGACAGGTGTACTTACTTTTGGTTCTTTTTTTTCACCTGCATATTTTTTATGCTACTCTCTCCGTTCTTATATTCTATCAAAGATTAATGATAGCTTATCGCTCTAGATGTTTAAATTTGCTGTTGTTGTGACCCGTTGACAAGACGCGAATATTATTTCTTTTGTCGTTTAAGTAAGGAAGTTTTTTTTTTTTCTTTATTATTATTATTATTATTATTATTATTGTATATTTTTTTTCACACGCGACCATAAGTAGTAATAGTAGTTGGACGACGATAATCAAAATTGCCATTATCCTAATTTTCATGCGTACGTCTCTCGTCACGGCGAATGCGTGTGAAAAAAAAAAGAAAAAGAAATTGTTTGTTCTTCTACTTCTCGATCTGTCACGCTATTTAGAAAATAAATGTATTCAATTGTCAACATATGTATAAAGGATAATCGATAAGAAAGATTTTTAATTTAGGTCTTTTTTTCTTTTTTTTTTTTGTTTTAATGTTAAGTGTAAATAAATAATTTGCAGATATCTCTTAAGAAAGTGCAAAAGACAAAAATATGAATCGTTGTTCTTTAAACATATACACGTCAAGATTAGAAGAGATAATACGCAAGTAGTCATTGTCGTTCTTTCTGTGTTTTTTCTTTTCTTACTTCGTAAAAAAACAAAACAAGAACAAAGAGCTTATCGGCAGAATTCGCATACAAAAAAAAAGAAAAGGTAGATCTTATAGACTATGTAATGAAAATATCTGCTTTCTTTTCTTTTTTATAAAATGAAAAAAAAAAATAATAATAACAATATAATTCTCTTGTATGAGTGTGATATGCACCAGTTGTTGTCATACAAAATAAGTACATGTCTGTATGTATGCATGTTGTCTGTCAGATCATTCTTGTCATGTCGAACAAATTGAAGCAAATCAATCAAGCGACTATGACGAGTGGCCACCTCCTTCGACTACTTCTGTTCTTTTCTTTGTTAGTTACTAGCTTATATTGATAATATTCGCTTTCTCATTTCGTTCTTATTTCATTGACGAGCACCAGCCGTGCACATGCACGCACATAGTACAGGCACCAGATTGTCGTCTTCAAGAAAAAAAAAAAAAAAAGAAGTTAATCTCTTTCTCCTATTGATTTGAGACGTATGTGTGTTGCGTTTTTCCTTTCTTTCTTATTCTTATATGAATGGAAATCGAACCATCATCATCGTTTCTTCTACAGCGTATACATCAACTAATCCATCCATCCACGACAAAAGCAGATGCACAAGTGATAAGAGAAGGTTAATCATCACCTCTCTTTCTTTTTTTCTATCATTATCAATTACGATATTTACAAGCTTGAAGGACTATTGTTAGTGATACAATTTAATTTTTTGTCTATTGGATCTTATTTATTTTTTTGTTTGTTTGCTGGTCATAAAACTTTAGCAGGTAATCTTTGTTCATTACTAATATACATATAAAATAGAAGAAAAGATCGTTTGTCAGCTAGTGAGTAAGCTTCTATGTGTGCGTAGCATTTTAAATAATTTAGAGAGTAAGAATAAAACAAAATGAGAAAAAAAAAAGAGAATTAAACAAGAGTCCGGTCTGTCATATTCATTTGTTATGTTCATTTTTCTTCGATTCATAACGTTGCGTGTTTTAATCTTTGAAAGTTGTAGTCTATTGCAAAATTGCTCGCACACATAAATTTGTCACCTCTTTTTTTTTTTTTACCACGCACTTCCGCCATCAACTTTTCACACTGTGATTAGCACACACTAGGATTTTACAACAACGACTACCTTTCTTATTATTACGTTTGCTTTATAAGTGTCTTCGAAATGAAAATTCATTTTTTTTAATGTCTTCCGGCTGAAGCATATATGTGTATGTGTTAGTTGCTATCTTTAATTGCAGACTAAAGTGAAAAGAAAGAGCAATAAGAAAATTCTTCAAACGCTTTGCGCTCACTTTCTCTTTTACCACTACAACTTTTTTTTTCAAAGTTCTTTCAAGCACATTTCCGTCTTTCCTACCCATTCTCAAGCAAAGGAGCGCAACACATACTATGATGTTGTTATTGGGATAATCATCGAGCGTTTGGTTGAAACGTTCAAATTTTTCCTTCTTTATTGCGTCTTGCTACTCCGACTCGGTTCCTTTCCCTCTCTCTCTCTCTCGCTTTTTTAAAAAGTGAGAAATAATGCATCCGTATGTCAACTTTAGTTAAAACATACTTCTTTCACCCTCTCTCTCTCTCTCTCTCCTCTTCTTTTTATTCAAGATTCTAGACGATAGAGAGAGAGAGAATGGCATCAGCCGGCTTCGTCTTCATTTCGAAATCACGACTGTGTTGTTTGCTATTGTGATTAACATTCTTAAAGAAATATCATAGAGCTTAACCTCTCTCTCGCTCTCTCTCTCTCCTGTAAATCACAATGTCGTCACTTGGCCTGTTCAATTCAGCATGTGAGTGTATATGTATATATTCCTTTCTTTCTTACTTCTCGCATTGAAATTTTATTGGGTGTCGATATAACGATTGAAAAGCTATTATCACTCAACAACAGTTGTTACTCATCACAGTGGATGAGGCGAAGCGGCTAGTGAAATTGAATATAGGTTGCAATACTTTATCTCACTAACGAGTGGAATTGAGTAAAGCAATAGCACTCACATTTGTGCCCGCACGCCTGTCCTATTGATTTAAGACATGGAAGAATATGTTGACAGATCGATACAATGTTAAAGAAAAAGAAAAAAAAATTAAGAAGACTTTATGACGTTTGTCAATTTGCTTTGCGGCAGCATTGTCGTCTTCTTCTTCCCTCTCTCTCTCTCTCTCTCTCTCTCTTGCTTGCAATCATACGATTGGATGCTATAGCTCATACATATACATAGTAGCATGGTTACGCTTGGTTAACGTTGTGCAATAAAACGGGAGCGAACGAATCAAGATAAAACAAATTATTCGACAAAAATGAAAAAAGAAAAAGAAAAAAAAACATGACATATAGGCAATGATTGATATCTTGTTTTATTGCAATAATCACTTATCAATGCAAATGGTAAACGAGAGAGAGAGAGAGAGAAAAGAACGCAATTGGTGAAAATTATCATCATCACAAGACGATGATGTAGCGAAGGTGTCCTTATTGATTTGTTGGCAAGGTTTTTTCTTTTTCTCGTATTCGCGCGCGCGCGCGCTTTAACTAGTCGATGGTTTCGGTTCAGTGAGGCTTGAGTGTTACGAAATATTGACTAATAAAAATGATGTTGAGAAGAAGAAGAAGAAATGGTATGATTTACAAACCCTTGTCGAATATGTTCGACATCAATTGATTGGTTGTCAGTATAATATGTATACGAGAGAAAGAGAGAAAAAAAAAGAGAGAGAAAACGCGAGTGGTCTCCCCCCGATCACTTTCGTATATCATATCTATCTTTGTACGTTTTCGTTCTTCTTCTACTTCTTCGTTCGTTGAAGCGCGAAGAAGAGAAAAAGGATTTG